TTACATTACGCATAGTCATGTGGTCTCTGGTCACCACTAAGCTAAGAATGGGTTGACTCATTTGTAAAATCACATATTTTCATCAAAATGTTTATTGATCACAAAAAAGCTGGCTTTGCAGTCTGCACTATTACACATTTGGTTTAGTGCAGCGCAGAAGTGCGTTCGTGTAGCCTGAGAACATCAGATGATTCAGCAGAACCTGCGTGCCAGTGTTAATGGCGCGTCCCTCATGAATCTAACATGACCCAGCAGAGCAGCAGAGCAGGAGGGCTGTCTCCTTCCTGTAAAGAACGATGTTGTGGCAACAAACAGAAAGGATGACACAGACGGGAGCTCAGAGTGGCAGGAGCAGCTCAAAGACTGGTTGTTTCTGTCAATCAGTAGCTACTTGCATGATCAAAGTGTCTTTGAGCGCATCACTTGCTTCTGCTGTCTCAGTCAAGTTGATGAGCAAACAGGAAATTAATCGGCAACCGTTCTGACAACAGAATAACCTTTAAAGTCATGTTCCAGCTGCTCAAATGTGAAGATTTAAAGATTATTTTTAGTCTTTCGTGGAGTTTTGGACTGTTGGACAAAACAATCGATATGGCAAAGCAAAGAGCCTTATGTAACATGATGTCAACATGTTACTTCACACAAGGACAACATTTTTGCTGCATATTCTACTATTCACTGACATTTTTATAGAACAAGCGATTAATCAAATGAATAATCGGGAGACTAATCAACAACAAAAATATTGTTTGTTAGCTGCAGCTTCACATGCCTTCATGCAGGTTTTTCCACATCTCCTTCTCCCCCCCCCCCCCCGTTTTCTTTTTCTCCATGTTATGGTTAAAGTCAATGTATACAGGTGACAAAACAATGTCAGCTCAAAGTCCTACTCGCTTGCTTGTTCTGGAGCTTTTAAACCTGTCACACAGTCTTCCTCAGTACATTGAGTTTGGAGCTGTAGAGTCACCTTTTTTGACTTAGTTAGTTCTTTAATGTATGTTCTATGTAATGTTCAATGTTTCTGTACCAGAGTGTCCTGTTGCTGCCTACAGTTCACAGGAATGTTCCCTTTTTTGCCTTCATCCTCCCCCCCTCCTCTTCCTGATTTCTCCCCCCCCCCCTCCCTCTACTTCCCTCTCTCATCCTTTAAATTCAGTCCAGACTTCAGTCTTAAATCTGGATTCTCTGTGCTTAACCAAACATATGGAATGCTACTGTAGTGGAATGCTCCAAGTCTGGGTTGTTTTCTCTGACTCTGTGCGTCTGTGTGTGTGTGTGTGTGTGTGTGTGTGTGTGTGTGTGCGTGTGCGCGCGTGTGTGTGTTTAACCATGCACATGTTTTGAAGCAGATGAGAGCTTCTAGGATGATGATGATTATGATAATGGTGCGTGTGTGTTTGTGTGCCTCCGCAGAGAACTGAATAGGGCCTTCTGTTGTCGTGGCCAAACACGGCTTGTCTGCTCAGGCATGAGTCTATTGCAAAGCCGCCCGAATGCGTCCCATATCTGAGCAGTTAGCTCATTCTTTAGCCTGTTAGCTTGACTGTGAACGATCTCCCCCACAGTGACTGCATTGTAGGCCGCAGGCTCGGGGCCTTGCCAGCTGCCAAACATAACAATGGTGAAAGATGGCATGAGTGTGTGCGTCTTGATATTATGACGACCAGCGAGTCCACTTTCACTAAGCTTGAGCTTGTGTGTTTTTAACCACAGGATGGAGACTTTGAGAAGAGGAGCTTAACGTGCGACAGACAGAAAGATGCATCTTAAATGTAAGTTACGCCTCCCTGTCCTATAATGTCCATTTATTTCTGCACATATTTGGGGTGTCTCCTGGTCACTGAAAGTCATTCAATTTAATTCAAATAAAACACACTGAAAATGGCAACTCAAACATGAAGTCAATCCAGTAATGACAGATTTTTGAAGTGACTGATTTATATATAATAGAATTTAGCATATTACCCTAATGCGGGGTTTGATCTATCGGCTTTAATCAACACAATTGTATTTTATATGAGGGCTGGGTGGTATGACCAAAAATGCATATCACGGTATTTTGTAAGACTCTGGCGGTTTCACGGTATTTTTATTTTTTTTTTTCACGTTAAAGCATTAATTAATTAACGCCGAAAAGAACCTGCCGGCCAATGGCCAGCGAGCGGTGAACAGCTGTTTGTGTGGCGTGTTTTCCGTTCTGTCACATCCCGTTTCCTTCACCTACATTCCCCTGGGTCCTAAGCCCCTCCAAGTACAGCTTCTTATCACCAACGTACATTTATAACAAATACCACACATATTACGGTAATCAGCGTTGCATATGTGTCTGACCAAAATATCTTTTGTTGTTCAGACTTTGTTCATCCTGCATCGCTCTTTTCTGTTCTTTAATGTAAAGTTACTGGCGTGACGGAGCCTCTCCCAGCTGTTAGCAGACTGTTGTTAGCGAGCTTTACCCAGCATGCAGTTTGGCGGTGAAAAGTGAATATTTAACTATTTTTGGAAATATTTGGTTGGTTAGTGAGGTAATATGATTGATACCACTCTCATGTCTCTGTGGTAAGTATGGAGGTGATTAGCTTAGCTTAACATAAAGACTGGAAACAGGGTGCAGCAAGACTGTTTACCAAGGTTAAAAAATACGCCCACCAGCTCCTAAAGTTCACATGTTGTGACCTGTTGGTTTAATCTGTACAGAAGAAGTGAATGTAAAAAAAACAAACATTTAGCAGTTTAACCATCTCCCCACTATTTCTGTCCAGAGCATTTCCAGTCATAGCGCTGCTTGTTTGGCAACTTTGATATGACGACAAGACTCCGGAAAATCCCTCTGTTGTTCTCCAAACGGTTCTTTTAAAAAACGTTTTTTTTTTTTTAACTTAACAGATAGCCGGGCCAGCTGTTTCCCCATGCGTCCATTAGCAGGGGGGGGGAGCTGAGCATAATGCTAAGCTAAGCTAATTGCTTCAGCGCTCCAACACACAGACATGTGAGTGTGTAGGTCATTTTATTTAACTTAAAAAAAGAAATATTTCTAAATGTATTGATGTCCTGGTGTCCCTTTATCTATTAGTGACATTTAATGCTGTTGGAGACACAATTAAAAAGAAAAGGATGGCGTTCTGAAACCTAGAGATACCTTAGTATAGCTATTCGTGTGAGGAGTGTTGGCCAGCCAACACATCGATTCACAGCATCAATAATGTTCTGAATCTCTCATGTTTCCTCTGGCTCCACCCCCTTTTCTCCCTCTGCCTTCACACCTCCACCTCACTTCTTGTTCTTCTCAACCTCCTCTGCTCACCTATTCCTTCACTTCCTCTCCCCCCTCCTCTTCCGCCCCTCCTCTGCTCTTTGTAAGTCTGTTTCCCGTTGGGCACAAACGCCGGCGCCTCACTTCCTTCCCTGTAGCCTGAAGTCACACAGGAGTGGCACACAGGCGTATACACAGTACTGTATGTATTCTGTATGGGTCAGTGCGTTCACACTCGCTCAGGCCAGGTTAGTCAGCAGAGACAGTATATGTGTCACTGTCTTACCATGTCTGCAGCTGTCTGCTCACATGACAGTGTAAGGTCAATATGTGGCCAGGGCGTGTTTTGTGTGTCTTCACAGAGCTGCATCTACATGCGTTTATTATGCCGGATGCTAGTTCACATCCTGCTCGGGCTAAATTCATTCTAAATAGTCCGGATCTGACGAAGACCCTGAAAACCGACAGTAAAACAGGAAAAGGAGCTTCTCATGTCAGTGTCCTGCTACTTGTAATAGCTTTTAATGGTTTTTAATAATCAGGAGCAGGATTCTTTCCAAATTGGATGTCATTAACTGTACATAATGCAGTTAAGAATCCGTTATTAGCTTTCTAAGCGTTGGATGAAAAGATGGATTTCGCTTATGGAGCACTGTGGAGCTTGAGCAAGGAGACCATAAGCTTAGCATTAAGTCCGAAGGTCGTTTTTACCCTTCAGACAAGATATCAAATGTTAATAAGTGAACGTTTTATGATGATTTCCTTTTATTGATACTCCTGGTGACTTCCTCTTCTCCGTTCAGCTGTGTTTGCTGTTGCTTTTCACTCAAACTGCCTGAGTCTTTCATTAGATATTCATTCAGAAACATGCAGATTTTTTTAAATTCAAACTATCCTGTTATGTGTTCACATATTGTGTGTGTGTGTGTGTGTGTGTGTGTGAGCACATTTGTACCTGCTTCATGTGAAATGTAATAAGCAGCATAGATACTTTTGTTTACTTCCAGTACTAGGACAATAACTGTATGATCCAGTATCTCTCCTCTGGTAGACAACTTCATCATTTCACCTCCTGCTCTGTTGGTCTCGTATCATCCCTCCCTCCATCCTGCAGCCAGTGCTGCATTCCTGCTGCAGTAATCTACTCTGGCAGCTACCTGCTCCGCATACTGTGGAGTCACTCCCCTCATCTCACCCTCTCTCTTTCTCTCTCTCTTCCTTGTCTGTTTTTCTCTCTATATATCTTTGCTTAGCACGCACTATTACATGCATTTTGCTCTGCACATTTGCCCCATCTAAGCTTTTCCGCTGCTCTCTCTCTCTCTGCTCTGTTTCTTCCTCATCAGAGAGCCACTGAGGTCTCCATTCAGCTGCAGCAGGCAGCTAATGCCAAGGCTCAGGCTGATGAAGCACTGCCAAGCTCTGCCAACCAAGGTGTGTGTGTGTGTGTGTGTGTGTGTGTGCGTGTGCATGCTAGGATGGGAAAGCAGTGAATGAGCAGGATGTCAAGCAGCCAGGCAGGAGGTAGAAGGGCTGTATGTTAAGAGCTATTGATGCGTCTGTGAATCGACAGTTTTTGTAGGCAGTTGTCGCCGGCCGTCAGAAGGGGCCGGCCTGGTGAAATGTCCAATCCATCATCGTCACCGGACAGTTTGATGACCAGTTGTCACCTCTTCTCTTTGGCAAGGACATATAAATGCAGCAGGAAGGCAGGGGAATGAGGAAGAAGGGCAAGGGAAGGAAACAGAAGGAATGCAGGGGAGGGAGTATCTAGAGGTAGAGGTCACATGGAAGAGGGATGACCGTGACTGAGATGATGGTTAATAGGAGAGAAATGGAGAATGTCGGGAAAGAAAAGGATGAAGGGTAATAAGGTGGTGGTCAGGCCTGGGACAATAATCATCAAATATGCTTAGAACTCTTAAAATGGCACTAAAACATACTGGCATCACTTTACTATACATTTAAGAAACAAATAATGTTATCCATCACAGATAGGACACACATGAGCATTAGTGAGCAATCTTAAAGAAGGTAATCATGAATCATAAGGTTCCCCTGCATAAATAAAGAATAAATACATTTTAGAAATAGCAACATTGTCCTGTCTGACATGACAATTCTTGTATTTTTCTATTTTCAGTTCTTTACCATGATTGCGAGCTAGACGGCTATTTCAAGTCACTCGCTGCGATATTCACGATTATCCTGTTAATTGCAAAGGGAATAGTGCAAATTACAAGAAGCATCAGTGAAAAAAAGACATTATATTTTGTTTTTAACTTATCCATTATAAGTGGACCGACTGAATGGTTGAATACACATTAAAACAAATGAGTTCAGCAGTTTGAGAGAAATGTATTTTTGATCACATCTAGCAATGTAATGACATTCTTGAACCAGATCCCACCAAAAACAGATCACTAGTTCTTTGGCCTTCCACCAGATTTCATGGATTCTTTTTTGAGACATTGGGCTAACTCTCACGCAAACGGTAAACTACAGTGGAGGTAATGAATGAGAGTAAATCTTACAGATCGTATCACTCTTCAGCTGTCTCTTAACTTTTGTCTGTCTGCCTCGCCTCATTCTTTCTCCGCCTGACTCATTCTTATTCACACAGATACACGCTGACTGCAAGTGTCATCATGTTCTCACGTTTTCATTTTCTCTTATCGTCGTAAAACTGTAATACAGACGCATTCCTTCCCGAGCAGCTCATCATTGTGTGCGTGTGTGTGTGCGTGTGCGCTCATTAAATCATTTAAAGTTTTTGCTTTGCTGCTGTTAAACATGGCTTTAAATCGGTCGCTGGCGTTGGTCCTGACAGAAAACGCTGTGATAATAACCGAGTTTCTTTTCAGTTTAGTTATTAATGATTCCACTGTTGTTGTCAAAACAAGGTTAATGTTGTAGCTGTTCTGGAGCTTTAGATCTCATCTTAAGATTGTTGTGCATTGCACACGTATAACATTGTTGGACTCGCAATAGGCAGTTTGAAAAAAGAATCAAAATCGACGCCGCAGAGATATTGCTTTGAAATGCTGACCCTCTGCTTTATTTTCTCTCTTCCTCTCTTCTCTGATCACGATATCTAATCACAGCTCATGTGAATGTCCCAGTGTGGTTGGACATTTACGTCTCCTACTGGAGTCTTCCTGTCTATTACTTCACAACTGGGACTTCCTGTGGTTTCAGTCCACATGATAGCAAATCACACACACGTCCTAAAAAAACCCAGAATAGAGTTTACTGACCCTTAAGGTCTGGTATTATTAAAATCTTAATGCATGGCCTTGACAAATATTATTCTTGAATTACACTTTTTTTTTTTTTTTTTTTTTGAGCACAATTGTGAGGACACGTGACTTTTACTTATTACTCACTTACTGTACATGTTACATTCTGATCATTTACTGTTTGTTAAATCCTTCAGTAACTCATTTCTCATTTCGTTTTTCAAACTACAGATTATTAACATTCCATTGTATCTCCCATATTTGAAGCAACCTCGTGTCTTTTGTTATCCGTACAAAAACCACACCAGTTAGCAGCTAAACTGCATTCTCGTTCCCCACATTGTGTTGATGCAGTTCAGCTTAGTTCGGCACGGCTTAGCTGCAACACAGAACGACACAATCAGCTCTCCTAATCAGGGCCTCGCTCCTGTTCGCCCCAGTGTCTTGTGAGAAGCGTTCTTCATGTTTACAGTGTCAGTGACCTCTGACCCCAAACTCAGAGGGCAGCAGGCTGAGAGCATGCTGGAGTGCTGGAGTAGAGTTCGGAAATATTTCATGGAAACATGACGGCAGGTCACACAGGACATAAATCTGTGTGTTTAAATCAATAGCAAGAGTATTGAAACACTTATGCAAGTGAGCCCCACATATACTCATTCATTTAAATACATCTAGGTTTTGTATTATTTATTGTAAGTACGATTTCAGACAGTCAGCGAGTGGACATTTTAGTAATGGTCTGAGAATGTACACATGTTTTGGCTAATATATCTTTTATGATAATTAATTAAGACTTATTGATCGATAATTGAACAAACCAGGCCTGAGATAAGCACGTAATCTACGGTATCACCTGCCATGCCAATAACTGTATACACTACAAAACAATGTGTGCCATTTTGGGGGATTGTTTAGGATCGGAAACAGAAACGGGTTTATTGCCAAGTAGGTTTTCGCGTACAAGGAATTTGCCTTTGGTGTTTAGTGCATAATGATAAACTTGGAGTAATTAAATATTGTCCAAGGAATCTGCAGTGACAGTGTAATGTATAGAGAACATTTGTGATTATGTACAGAGGTGATGGCCCAATGATGTGCATTAAACAGAGTTGCTGGAAGGATGCTAGAATTGGCGTTGAAATGTAGTGCAGCAACCGTTGACCTGTTTTGGTGAGCCTCCATCTGGTGTGTGATATTCTGTGAGTCCATCAGAACTCATTGCATTCAAGTTGCTCCACATCTCCTTGGCTGCAGATCTGCTTGAGGCTTTTTTTTTTTTTTTTTTTTAAATAGAGCATCTAACATCCTTCCCCTGCTCCGCTTCCTGGTCCAGCAACAGTGAATGTTGCATGTAATCCTGTGTGTAGCGCTGATCAAGAACATGCTCCACTTTACTGTTATGCCACCAAGATCAGGAGCCGAGAAGCTCTGAGGGGCTTTGAGTTTGATTCAACATCCTCAAAGTTACATCTTTAACCAGGTCATAAACAGAGAAGCCAAACATGTAGTGCATGTGTAGAATCAGTGTGCGCAGGTCAGACACTGCAAGTCTCTCTCTGCCATGTCTGTCTTACCCTCTCTTCCCACTGGCATTTGTTGTCCCCCTCCCCACGCTTCCCTCTCTCATCTTCTTATCACGTCCTCTCACATAAACCGTGTGCTGGGGGGCGACCTAGAAAAGGCTCTGGGTTACTGGGCTAGGACCGGAGAGAGGACTGTTACTTTCCAGTCACACTTTCTGACCCTGATGTTCTCATAAATGTTTGGCTTTATCAATCCTGTACTAAACTGCTGTGTGCACATCATCCACCAACTTACAGGTATTACCATGATGTAAGAACATCCTGGGGACCTTTAGTGTGACTGCATCTAACAGTTACTTTCAATGCAGACACAAACCTCCATACCGTTTTCCTCCCGTCTCTCTCTCTCTCTGTTATTTTGGCGTTGAGACTCCCTGCGTTCAAAACCATTGAAGATGCACTGTTTCTCATAAATTGCTCAATGAGTTCAGACTGTTAACAAATGAAAGGAAATCCCAACTGAAATGAAGCCAAGTGTCCATGCGGAGCTTTTCCAGCCATTGGCAGCCAGGAGGAAAGACCCTTAAGAGTAATGGAGTGAAACTGTGATGTATCAACTTGATTTTTATTCAGCTTTCACTCTATTTTTTTAAGGGGAGAAATTACTGGTGAGAGGGAAGGAAAAGGGAATCATGTCACTAATGAATATCTTAACATTTAGTGATGTTGCCCTGACAAACGGAAAGCACCTGCTTTGCTATAGTGGTACCGTGGATAACTTCAGTGTCCTCTCCCGTAACTAAATATTTTTCTGACGACATATTGTTGATCCACTATTTTACCATATTTCAATATGTATAATATAATAATATTTCAATCCAGTATCTTAAGGAAAAATCCAAGCAGCGACGGTGTCCATCCCGTTTCAGCTGCTTCTGATGATTACGCTGCATGACCGTAGTTTCTTTTCCATTTTTCTGCTGAAATGCAACACTGCCTTTCAGTTCGTTACCATTTTTCCAGAAGCGGGGCAAAACTGAAAGGGTGAAAGTAAAAAGGAACATGACAGTACAGGAAACGACAAACCGAACATTATGGGATGCCGGTTTTCTCTTTCTTGGAAAAAGGGGAAAATGCAGGCCAAGCATCAGGTCTCCACCATCTTGTGGCTTCCAGTGCTGCGCCAGCATCCATCCACTGCAGTCGTCCCTACACACACACACACACACACACACACACACAGAAAGTATTTGTCACATATACACGCTGGCAATAACCCCCTACATGAAGATGTGGTTGAGGCATTTTGATTGGACCGGGACCCTTTATTAACTACCGTTTATGAGGCAGAAGAGCTTCAAACCCATAAGTTCCAACGTCAAGTGCAAGAGAGAGGGGAATTTTTTTTTCCTTTCTTTTCCTTCTCTCTTTCATGGAGAGAACAGAATGTACTCAAGGCAACAGGCAGGCAGGAAGAGAGTGGCTAAAGCCTTAATGATATGGTGGATGATTGTAACCTTGGTGTGTGTGTGTGTGTTTGAGTGAGAGCAAGCAGAGTGGATGAACCTCTTCAACAAAGTTTGACTTCCAGGTCTGTTTGGTGTTGTTGATCCAAGACAAAATGAAGCCCCACCACCACACACACACACACACACAATTTGTGTGCAACTCCCTAATTTTCTTTTAGCGGGCTTGAGCACATCTCCCCCAGTCTTTGTGTGACCAGTTTTCACATGCGACAGCCTACGCCACCTACAGCAAGTGGACGCAATAGCAGAACCAGTTTAGACCTGCAGATGTAGGCGTGTTGATGTTGCTCCCTACAAAAATAATGGCTGCTGCCGTTTTAAAACTTGCACCTGCAGATTGTTTCAGCTACAGCTTTCTTTTAATAGATGTGGTTAGCCTGTGTTTGTACTTTTTCCCAGTACCCCAGAAAATATGCTCCAGCAACAAAACCCATAGATTTAAAATGTGAACTGTAAAACCTTAAACTCCAGTTGTAGCACTTTCTGAAGGTGGCATGTATGTGAACATTGCAGAAGCTGTTACATACCTTACACATTTACACTCTCGCTGCCGAAGGAAGTAGAAGGTGCCAAAGTCATACATTGTTGGACTGAGCAGTTTGGTTTAAGCTGTTCTCAGTGTTCTCTTTAATTTTTATGGTTGAGTTTAGTTACAGATGCTGTATCGCCTTACGTGGCAAAGACAATCGCAAGAATGTGTTCAATGAAATTTCTTTGACTGAAATCAAATCTGGACTCTAAATTGTCCTGATCCAGTTGATGCTCGGAGCAGACTAAAGCAAAATCTCAGAAATATTTTTGAATACTCCCTGGGCCCTTGCCATGAAACCCAGACAGTGCCCTGCTTAGGAACGGGCTTCTGCAGAGAGAGTGCTTTGGAAAGCCCGACAGTGGCCTGGTTAAGAGCAGACGAGGCAGAGCGAGGGACTGGCGGTGCCCTGGTTAGTCCATCATGAGCAGTTTGTCTGCGTAAAAGGGGTCAGTTCCTCTGCCTCGCAGCTCCTACCCCCTTCCAGGTTTTCTATTTTTGTCAAACGACACACATGAAACTGTTCAATTTGAGTACATCCCTTCCGACCACATTCTCTCCTTTCCCGCCGTTTCTCCACGTTTTTGGCCAAACAGCTTCTCACATTTTGCTTATTGTTCCACAGCCTTGAAGATGAATACTAAATCAAAGGAATATTAGGGTTCATGAACACATATCTATGTGGGCCGTGGTCCTAAATTGAAGAAATTTGTGTTCCAAGACTAATAAAGATTCTGATTTTCCCTCTGCCGCCCTGCATCTTCTCGTTACTTCTCTCCTCCCTTTCCATCTCACTCAGCATCTGTCTATTCCCGCCTCCTGTCTTATCCCCAATGTAGCTATTGAGGCCCCAGCCCTTGCGATATGTGAATCAGGTATGTTGATTGGTTTGGCAGAGGCGGGGCCCTTGCCAGAGTCGCTTTGCACGCACCGCCGCTCCTTTTAAAGCGCCCACTTGGCCGTGCTGGTGTGCGTGTCTGAGAGAGATGGAGGGGAGAGATGAGGGTGGGAGGTAGAAAGCTGGCAAAGAAATAAAGGCAGAATGAAAGGAGAGGTAGGCAGCCTGCCAAGACGGGAGTAGCTGGACCAAGGAAACGCCATTATTAACCAGGACGTGGCTCAACCAGAGCGGCTGTCCCGAGTTGTTTCAGAAATCATGTAGGGGCCCAAAACCCAACAGTAAGATCATAAGGAATCTGTCATAGGGAAAATAATGAAGTCTGAACTTGATGTTTTATTATTAAGGGGGTCAGAACAGTTAGTTATTCTCTTAACCTTTTCACTGGTAACATGGCTGCTTAGTGCAGTGTGAAAGGCTCTCATGAAGAATTTAACTGTACCTAGGTGAGCTAGTGAGCCTTCTCTGCTTTTAATAGATACATGGGAATTTTTCATAGTTTTTTTTTTTTTATTTTTTTTATTTTTTTTTTATTTTTTGGACTCTGCTGGAACAGGATCAGTCAAGACAGGTTTGGATCACAGCGACCACCTCAAGACAACAGAGAAAAATTGGTCTACAACTCGCTTAACAAGCCACAGCTGGGCAACGCTATGCAGCCCAAAAAATGACTTTATTGACCAAGGTGTTTCGGCATTCAAGTCGACAGCAAGGCTAGCAGTTTTCTCTCCCACATTTTTCACAGTTTGTCTTTTCCCCTGCTCCCCTCTTAAGTCCGTGTACTTTGCAGTATTTCCTCAAAGTCTTGTACTCACTGAGAAGATTACCAAACCACTAGACCTCATGAAAGTAAAGAATAATTAAAACGCTACAGCTAAACGCTTTGAGTTCACATTGTGCCTTTTCTTAAAGTAATCGTTGCCATATTGACTTTCAAAGCGTATTGCCTTGGTTTATGTTCAACAAGACATTTAATGAATTGTGGGGAAAGTGGTTTGGGCTTCTTACACCAAATGAAACGATTGAAAATATTTGAAACTATGCTGGAGTAAACCATAATGGCAAGTTATACCTTGTTGTATATCATGTACGCACATAGATAAAAAGATAAAAACTTTTACTGCAGCAGTAAAAGTTATTTAATGTAAAGGAAAACTAGTCTTTAAATGTCGTGGTTTGTAGCTTCAGAGAGGCAATCTTTGAACATGGTGCTGTAGATTAAGGGAAAGAGGAGGCATGGAGCCGCCTGTCAGGGGGTCGATAAGTGATGATGTGTGCAGATGTTATGTCCTACCCTCAGGTTGATTTTCCTGCGTGGTCAGTGGGGGAAGCTCACCAGAATGAAAGGGAAAGGGGGAGTAATGGGATTTAGGAAAGAACACTACCTGAATCATGCATGAGACGACAGCTTCAGCTGGTTGATCTATGGAGGCCATGCTGTGGCGTTCTCATCAGATTAGCTGCATGCTGGGCACACAGATCGATATTATGTGTATGTGTGTGTATGTATGTATGTATGTATGTATGTATGTATGTATGTATGTATGTATGTGTGTATATATATGTATGTGTGTATATCGCTCTCTCTCTACCTAATAGTCTGTCGCAGAGTGAAACACTTTTCCTTTATCATCACATCCGTCCCATGTGACCATGACTGTAGTGTTGTGAGGGGCCTGTGATGTCATGATTGCCACGGTGACGGCGGTGTATGTGTGCAAAGGGGTGTAAAGGAGGTCTGTTATTGAGATATGCTGTTGTCAGCAGAAGCACACAAGCAAGCACAAATCAATGTTGGATACAACAGCAGCAGGGAGACTACAAAGTGTGTGTCTGTGTGTTCAAGCCTGTGCAGGCATGTTGAAACCCCCATACTCACACATAACATGTAATCAGTGCCACCTCCATCTCCTTCAAGGGACAGGCAAGGTGAAATGCATGGTGGTTCAGTGGAAACAAGAAAGAGAGAGGTGCAGTGTTCGTATTATGTCCACTTAATACTACTTGTCATATTTGTAATTGTTATACAATTTAGCCAGTTTCTGTAAGTGGCAAATTGTGTGCGAGTGTTTTTATTGTCGTATAAAAGTGTAAAATGTGACTGTTCTGTTGTGCGATCCTTTTACTCACTTACTAAGCTATGTTTCGAGAACGCAAATGACAGTCATTCCTTATTTGTCAATGACAAAGTGTTATTTCCTCTCTCCCTCCTACAGATGACAGATTCGTCTGCTAAACGCCACTCTGAGGGAACTTCAAGGTCTTAAAGCGACAGTGACGGACAGAACGCTGGGGGAAAAGAGTATTTTCCCCAAGAAAGGACTTGATAACACTTCCACACAAATGTGGACCTCCCAAAACATTGTCATCAAATAATCCGAACAACAAAGCAAACACAACAGATAAAACACAAAGAATTTTGTAGCCATGTCTGACAATAAAGACGTGACACATCGCCACCTGCGGCACAAGTTACAGAACCTCGGCCGAAGACTGGATGAACTGGAAGAAGCAACCAACAAGCTGCAGAAGGCTGAGGATGAGCTACTTGACCTGCAGGTGAGCACTGGTTGACTTCAGACAGTGTTTGTTTGTGTGTGCATATCGGAAGCAATGAGTGGAATAGAAATTTACTCCATGAATAGATTAATGATTGGTTGAACACTGTCTCTCTCTTCTACAGGACAGAGTCATCCAGGGAGAAGGCAGCAACTCATCCCTGCTCGGAGACGTGGAGGACCTTAGGAAACGTCTCCTAAAGATTCAGGGGAAGGATGAGGAGGTACGCAAAGCTGAGGATCTCTGCCGCACAGTCAGAGAGAAACTGGAAGAAGAGGAAAGCCTGACGAAGGAGCTAAAGGCCGAGATTGAACGTCTACAACGGAGGATGGCGGAACTGGAGAAACTGGAAGAAGCTTTTGGGAAAAGCAAGTCTGACTGCAGCCAGCTCTGCCTGAGCCTGAATGAGGAAAAGAACTTGACCAAGAAGCTATCGTCAGAGTTGGAGGCCCTCAAAGCACGTCTGAAGGAGGTGGAGGGCTCTGAGACAAAGCTGGAGAGAGCAGAGGAGGCTTTGGCTATGGATCTTGAGAAACTCAAAGGATTCACCCAAACCTTTATGAGTGAGCGTAAGAGGCTAGTAGAGAAACAGAGAGAGGACGAGAAGATCATTCTGAAGCTGACAGAAAAATTGGAGCACCAGAAGAATTACCTTGGCCTGTCTGCAGATCCCGGTCGTGCAGATTTCATGAGGTCACGAATTGAGGATGAGCTTTCATCCACAGGGCTCCTCACGGGTAAACTGGCTGGACGCAAGAAGAGCCTTGAGTACTTGAAGCTGGCTGATGACAACATCGGTCTTGTGAACAAATCTGAGAATGAGAAGAACAGCGGTCTTGAAGGCTCCCAGGATGAGGACAACAAAGTAAAGGAGCTGACACAGGAAGTAGAGAGACTGAAGAATCGCCTTAAACAGCTGGAGATAGTGGAGGAGGATCTAAAGAGTTCAGAGTCCAGAAATGGCGAACTTCATGAGAAGTTCCAGATGGAACGAAACCGTGCTCGCCAACTGAACGAGCAGGTGGAACAGCTCAGGACACAGCTGTGCGGGAAAGGTGGAATTGGAAGAAATGGAACCAGTAATGTGGATAAACACGGCAATGTAAGCACCAACATTTGCCCCAACAGCCCTGCTAAAGTCCTGGAGAATGGCAAAGCTGAGAATGAAGAGAGTATTGTGAAGGGATGTTTCAGACAAGAGAAACCCAAATATAGGAGTGCTGCAACTGTCTCAGAGCCGAGTTCCCCCAAACACAGAAACAGGGAGCTCTCTCCTCAGCATAAGAAAGAGACAAAGCTGAGGAGCAAAGATCCCAACCACTCAGAGGAGAGCTCTCCCAAGTCTGTGAGGAGAGCCCTGAGTCCTGCACACAAGAGTAGAAGGACACCCAAAACCCCAGCTACTGCGATTTCTTCTGATAACGGAAACAGAGACACAAGACGAGGCAGTGAGGAAAAGACGAGAGGAACCACTCCCTGCTCTGTAAACGCCTCCTCTACTGAGATTAAGAAAGCGCCAGTTCTTAGCCGCTACCCTCCAGCAGCTAATGACCAGAAGCCACTGAGGACGGCTCACAAACAGACTGATGCGGATGATAAAAAGGGCAAAGTAGAAACGTTTTCAAAACTATACGTAGGTAGTGATGGTGAATCAAACAACTCTGATGTAGTGCCCAATAGTTCAAGTACCATCAACAGTATCTCTGCTTTAGAGAAGGACACAGCGTCTGCCTCAGATCAGGAATCAACAGACCAAGTTCAGGAATCTGTCTCTGGATCTGTCGCCCCTACCCTGTCCAAAGCCAATGGGGCCTACGCAGCCTTCAGATCCCCCGTTACTCCAATGTTGCCCAACGACCAGGGGTCAGAAGGTCATTCATCTGCCTCTGAAACAGAATATACTGGTTCAAGGCCCTCTGAACTAGAGCCTGTAACTGAGACGACTACTTCAACTGTAAGCAGTAGGACTGCAACCCCCAGATGTCCTAGACACCCCCATGTCCATGACTCCCATTCCGAGGGTTCTTCTTCCAGGAGCTCGTTTGATGAAGAGCTCCACAACAGAACACTGTTAGCTGAGGGAGGCCACCAGGGGTCCACACATACTGCATCGGAGATCGAGATCCAGCGAGTGTGCAGCCCACGCGAGGCTCTGAGGTCCAAAGCTGTCATCAAGCCTGCGATCGTAGAGATCGACAGGAAGGAAGTGATGATTTCAGAACCTTTGTCTACAAATGGCAAACCCAAAATCTCCACCAAACCCATGGTGACCACCACTAGTAAAATGACCAGTAGTATAACCATCTACCCCAATGACCCAAGCTCTTCAAGAACAAGCAGTCGCAGCAGCAGTGTGTCCAGTGAGCCCATGCCGATCAAAGAACGCCACACCTCCACCAGTAACATCCTCATAGGTAAGGACGGTAAAGGATGGCAGTCATGTTTTTAACAGTGCAGGTGCTATGATACAATTTATTTGAACTATTTGAACTTGAGGTGTTGTGTAAAAATGCAAGACTTAAAAGTAGTTCTGTGAGGCTGTATTCAAGAAGTGCTTTGAGCTAAATGCTAATGTCAGCATGCTATCATGCTCACAGTGACAATGATAACATGCTGATGTTTAGCAGGTATAACGTTTACAATGTTCACCATCTAGCTGTAGCAGCTGCATTACTGTCTTGTTACTCTTACTGTCAGCTTCTTGCAACTATAAAATGTTTTGGTTGGAAAATATTGGATATACTTTTCTTCATTGCCAGGCCCCAGCAGTGAGCACCATGGCAGCATCTCCGTCCCGTATGAGATCTCCATTCCCAAAAGTGAGATCACCTTGCGGTCGTGCCAAGACCAGGACTGCATAGTAGACGACCCGAGTGATTCCTCATCAAGGTCCAAACACCACAACACTTCCAGAGTGGAGACCACCACCAGCCACCTGTGCTGCCAACGTGGCAACTTCAGCCTCCAGTCCATGGACACCACCTCTGCAGACTTCAACGACACAGAGTCAGGCTTCGAAAGCAGCAGCAGTAGCACCACCACGGTCACCAGCTGGAGACACCAAAGACAAGGCCAGCACTCCCAAGAAGACAGTTTACCAGACTCAAAGAATGTGACCGTGAGAAGCACCTGGAAGAACCGGGACACTGTGTCAACGGATGAGTCGGGCCGAGGAAGAGGAGGTGCAAGGACCATGACTGATGGGGGGTCTGAGGATGAAGCAGAGGTCGCAACAACATGGAGGGCTTACCGGGCAACCACGTTTGACACAGAAGAAACAATAAACAGCGGAACAGGAGCTGGTGGGAATGCCGAGGCACAGAGGGGAGTCAAGCCGTCCCCTGCAGAGGTGAGCTAAAGAACAAATGTATGAGACAAATGAGTATGTTCTTTACACAAAGTTAACAATAAATTGGAGGATATGAACTACTTTATAGCTGCATAATGTTGCTCTTTATGTTGCTCCCTGTCCCAGGTGTACATGCGTAGGATCAACAGTGTGGTCACTAATACCAGAGAGGTCGAGGACCCCGTGATTCGCAGAGGCAAACGCTCACAGTCTCCCACCACGGAAGCAAGAGGCCCGGGAAAGATCGTACCCCACGCACCCGTTACCGCTCAGTCCTGGGGCCGATCCTACACACAACAACCACAGGTAGGACGACTTTTCTGCTCTCATAAGATGTGTTCTTTTGACATGATGCAGGTAGACAGAAAGTGTTAATATAAATGAATTATGTATTAGTCTTCATCAAATGGTAAGCACAAAGCAAGTGTCATGGTTTTGCAAAGTGTGGCTGGTAATTTTACATACTTGGAGTGTTTAGTGTTTTGACAATGTGGAAGTCACTTAAAGTAACTCAATCACTTAAAATGTAATCCCTCCCTTCTTAGAAAATGAGTCCTTGTGTCTGTTTTAAATTTCTCAAACCTTTCTGGCATTAAACAAACATGTGACGGCACTATTACTGCATAATGTGTCTTCTTAAATACCCTGCATTGCTACGCAGGTGAAGGCCTTATCCGTACCACTCTGCAAATGGTTGTCTTGCAGATAAAAGTCCAGAAAGTACAACCACAGCGCTGAGCTCCTGGTGTGTCCACTTTGCACGAGAGCTCAGCTTGTATTTTTCCCTGACGCCAGGCTCTGCGACTTCAAGCTTAGCACAGCAGTTCTGTAGGCCGCTTACTGGGGCCTGCTGCCCCAGTAAGCACAAAGAGAAAAGGGTGGGACAAAAAAAAAAAAAAAAAGAGGGAGGATGGAAATGAAAAAGACCTTAACAGGGGGAAAAGAGGGTTCAGAAAACCTCAAGGAGAAGAAAATAGCTTTCATTTAAATGTGCCACCACGGTCTGTGCCCCTGCCAGGCTATGCTACACAAACATTACTAAAAGAAAACGGTTGCTCACCCCCACTTAGTGCATGCATTGGATCACTGTGTGTTTGTATATTGATCCACATACATGAATCTTTCACCTGTTACTGTGTAAGAGCTTATATTTTAGGCTTCTGGTTTTCTTTTACAATGGGAAAATGTAATGTAATCACAATCTGCCGTATGACTTCAACACTTTTGTGGAGCTACATTATAAACAATTAAGTATAAAGACACCGATTGAGCCCACTAATTTCATGTATGTGTGCCTATGCGTTAACATGTGAGATTGTGTGCATAGCTACAATTAATGGAGTGTGAAAGTGTATACAAGTCTTTAGAAAGATGAGGTGACAACTACTAATGGGCTACAGTATTAACTTACTTGTCTGTTGGTATATAATATATTGTCAAATGGCCGTAGTACTGCTTACAGAGTGGGCTCCATGGCTACAATAACATCAGTCTGTCAGTTTGACAAACTATGCTGGACTAGAGGCCTTTGGGTAAAATCTCTGTTTTCCCCTATAAATAAACTGGATGTTGCCAAGGAGACCAACACATACATGCAAAGTGTCAGCTGTCTCATCCATCATGTTTGCTCACATTAGCTTCGCCTTCATTTAAACTGTCTTTGTCTTACATATATACTGTGTATATATACACAGCACAGAGAGATTGCCTGTAGATGATGATCTTTTTTTAACCGCAGGTTGCCACCTGGGTAAACCACAACGTCATCATTTGTATAGCTCTATGGGGTATTCTTTTAGAAGTAGCATATTGAAGGGATGTTGACCAGATCAGGACCAGGACTTCAGCAGGTTACAGGGTCCTGGTTGTGTTCTGCACCAAAGTCATGCAGTGTGTTTAGGCTTCATGGGTTCTCTTCCTCTGAGAACTTTCCCTAAGGCAACCCTTTTTTTAGTGTGTGTCAACTATCAAGTGCTGAAAAGCTAATATTGAATTATGACATCCCGAGCCACGGCTTTGTCACGGAAGCATAATGCCCGACTCACGCTTTCCCCTAAAGTTAACACTGTTAGCTCTGTTGCCGTTGTTTGCGCTGTTCTTGCTGTTGGCACCATTAGTTAATAGCCGCCTTCTCGGCCGTCGTCATGTTGAGAGCCGTGTGGAGGCAATCCCTCTGCTCTGAATATCGTATTGAGAACATTTTAACATGTTATAATGTAGTTTAATGTGAGCATCCGTCACTCACATGAATACACACCACTCTGCTTCAGTCACAACAAAGATGATGAACACCGTTTGGGTCTTTCATCTACACACAGAAGGTCCATTGCATAAAAACACACCAGCAAACATGACGTTAGAGCTCTAATTGCCTACAGGGCCCCTCCCTCTTATTAGCCTCAATGGGGGCCCCCCCGTTTCAACACTGCTATAGACTAGAAAGAGCAGTAGGGGACAGCCAGCTTTGTTTTTTGTTTCTGACGCCTCCCCGCCCTCCTATGTAATGTCATCCAAGCCCCGACATGAGCAAAGTGGCTTCAAGTTGTGTATTTGAGAAGCTCTGTCGGGGTCAGTGCCCGCATCAGTTTTACTACATGGCCTTGACCATAGTGCTTTTTCAGGAGCGCTCTCCTCTTTCTGAACCTGTCCCACATCACTCATCCTTGATGGCCCTGGTTATCCTAAAGCCCTGAGTCCCTGTCCTGTCTCTCATGTGGTAAATCAGCAGTAACCTTTTTTTGTCAGCTATGCACTATGCTATGGAAATTTCCCAAACCCACTTAGTTGACACTGCGGTACTTTAAAACCATGTTGATTTTGATATTAAATGGATAAACTGGTCACTCTGTTTGGATAGCAACTATGAAGAAAAATTGCTGTGTGCAAAAAAAAAAAAAAAAACGTACTTCAATCCATAATTATGCTTCAAAGCATGTCTTGGAGCACAGCTGATCATTTTTGGGTTTGGATTCTCAGAACATTTCAGTGGTCTGAACAGCATCCATTCCCAAGAGGTTTGGATAAATACAGCTGTAGTTAGGACAGAGGGAGGTTGGGATTAGTTTGTGATTGCTGTGTCAAAAGTTGATAGAAGAGGTTTGTGTACACGTTTGTAGATGGAGGCATGTGGGTTAATGGAAGGGGAATGTCGTTAACGTCCTTTCTTTCTCCTTTGTAACTTTGGTGAATGAAGCCTGAGCCAGACGGCATGTGAATAGCAGCTGTTTATATCTGATGTTGTAGTTTTAGACATCTTAAGTTCTCTTTCATTATTAAAAGATTGGTTGAAAAATGTGTGTCTTTGTAACCATTTACATCAAAGGCTTCCCAGTGATCAGAGTAGTGCAGACTGAAAATCAGCGATCAATAAATAGTCATTAAGGAGGAGACAACACTCCCAGTTCCTTTAAGCACCCTGGAGCGATCTGGGAAAACTGACAGCTTATTGATTAGCTTTCTTTCCTGAACCTCATGTATAAATTATTTGGATGCCATTTATTCAAACCTCTAGTGCACAGAGAATGACATCTTTTCATCTAATAGGTCGTTTTTGTTGTCCTCATGATCCAAATCAATGGCGGACTGTTTAACCTTGACTGTTGCCTCTGGTTTGTCCAAACCAATGTTTACAGTGCAACGTTTTTCCCACTCAAGTGGCCCGGCTCTATGGATTTGGTTCACCACATTGGTCCAGAACAAACTATATCAACAACCGATTGCCATGACATTTTATGCCGACATTCATGGCGTCCAGAGGATGAAGTCCACTGACTTTGTTGATCCCCTCAATTTAACTATAGCAACACCATGACAGTGATATTTTATTTTATTTTATGGATTGATGGATTGGCACATGGTACATATGGTACCATACAGGACTTGGTCCAAAACACACGTAAAGATACAAATAAAACGTCAGTGTTAAAATGGTGCTTGCTTGAGTACAGAGCAGAACAGTACTGTAGTGATTCCTCCCCGCTGTAGCTGTAGGAAACCTCAGCCCGGACACGAATGAACCGTGAACTTATGTTTGGCTGAGGACAGCGGGGCCGATATGGCCGATGAACGAGATACCCAAACATCCTTTGTTGAGTCATAAACCAGCGGCAGCGAGGTAAAGTGTGGGATCCTGGCTAGTCTACTACTCACCATTTGCCTGATCTGACCCGTGCAGAAAAATCCCTCTGGAATAAGAGTCTGTGCAGCAGCTAAAGTTGTCGAGCATCAAACAACAGACACTGTGCAAACACCCCATGAAAAGCTATAAAAGACTGGCTTTTATAAATCATAACGAATAAACGGATCATCACCTGGGAAAATCAAACACACATTTGTGACCTTTTCTGAAACATTTCACCTGGAGTGTCAAGAGTGTTGTCTTGCTGGAGAGGTGATTTAAGAGTTTGGGTTGGCAAGACATCCCCATTCCTTTTAAAATTGGGCGAGCGACCAAGGGCAGACAGATTTAAAGTAGGGATATAATTTCTTCTGCAGACGCTCTGACACGCTACTTGTATTACTTCTTAAATCTGCTGGCCATTGTTTTGCATTAGAAAGAAGATCTTTCTCACAGTGTTCTTTTGGTTTTCAAAGTAAACTCTTGGAAACTGTATTGATAATTCTAACAAAGAGCCTCCTTTTCTCATGAAAGTATGTATAAAAGCCTAAAACACGAGAAGATTGATACCACTCTGATGTCTCTACAGTAAATATGACTCTGCAGTTGGTTAGCTTAGCTCAGAAAGACTTGCCCACAACGCAGCATTGTTACAGATATGAGAGGGGCATCGATCGTCTTATTTCACAAAGAGAAAGTGAATAATTGTATTTCCCAATATGTCAAACTGTCCCTTTAAATATCACAGAACATGACTAACCTTTTCATTTGACATACAAAGTTGGTACGGGATATGTACTCTGCTTTTCTTCGTCCTACCGTTTCTGTTTTTTGTTTTTTTTGTTTTTTTTTATGGTGTCAAATTATCACGCTGTGCTGCCAGACGTGATTTAGCGTTTCTGATTATAGCGGCCTATAAAAGCGTGTTTTCCAAGCTGAAGGCCTTTAGGTGTGAGCTGGAGCAGGTCTGTGATGACAGCAGCACTTGCTGTTCCAGTAGATTTCCTCTGCTGCGGCACATCAACTTACTTAACAGCATTTATTACAGGCTGACGTTGCTCTTGCCCAGATACTTTCTTAAATTAACTTTCAGCCACTTGGGGGGAAAAAGCTCTTAGTTGGCACGCACGCACAGAAGTTACTAATTTTCCCTCGACTGAAGCCACACGTCTTTTAAAAGATGTTTTGCTTCTATTGAGCATTACACTTCATCATTTTCAAGCTTTTTCTTTTAATACATGCCAAATCTTTATTGTCAGGTGTATTTTTTTTCAAACTTTTGTTATTTTAAGCCTATTACAATATGTTGAACAAAGCACAATCCTCCTGTTGATTGTAGGAGGAACACTGGAAGTGCATTACTTGGCAACCTTGTAAAAGCCCCCCGGTCTTGCAGCTGTGGCTTACCATAGAAGGAGAATATGCCACTCTGCCGTTTCCTCCCTTCGGTGACTGGAGCAGGAAGTGACCACACTGAACACGCCTACTTGGCAGGGTTCGCTGGTGACTGATTTCCTGTCTGTTACCCCTGGAGACCGAGAAAGGCAGTCCAGCAGGGCACCATTAAAGCCAATTAGTGAGAATGCATTCTAAAACTGCACCAGAAGCCAACTCCAACCCACCAAATGTCACTAATTATGGTGCTTTTTTAAAGCTGAAATTACAGGAGCGGGGTGCTGTTTCTCTGTGCTTTAGGAACTGCATCGTCATCCAACTCTCGCTTTCTTAGAGCAGGGTTGCTGAGGTTATGAGAGGGGACGTGCCGCTGTAGCTACCACAGACTAGTAACGTTGGGTTTGTTTTCTAGTCAGCCCACCAAATTATAAATCTCTCAGCTTGGGGTATGTTTGGGGTTTTTGGTTGGGGATTTTTCCCCTGGCAGAAGTCCACATGGCAGTCTTTCCCTGTCACACACCAGTTAACATAAGCAGCATCTATTTAATGCCCACATAACACAAAAGTCCAAACAAAATGCCCAGAGCTCCTAACACAACTCCAGAATATGGGATTGAAGGAATTGACCTCTGTTGTGATGTTTGTGTTTCTGACAAATGCAAATGCCAAACCAACCCACGTCTTAAACTTGCCACGGCTGCCAATTCTGAAAGGGAACAAGACTTTTCTTTATCATGTTTTCTAACCTTTCCAGGCTGCTGATAGCGCAGAGCCCAGTCCAATCCCGAGCGACAGTCCAGCCTCCTGGAGGCGGCAGATGCCCGGCAGCGACTCTCATCACCTGGGGAGCTCTAGTGACCGGGCGTCCAAGACGGCGGGGGCCTCCTCCAGAGGGGATCTGTGGTCCAGTCGGGGTCAAGGGCCAGGGGCCAGAGCTGAAGGGAGGAGTGGAGCGGGGAGCCGACCATGGAGTCATCGTCACTCTGAGCATCATTAGACCACTTGGGGTCTTAGCAGCACTTCTTCAGCAAGAGGACAGGTAGGAGAGGACAGGGTCTTTTCTTTTGTCTCCTGAAACTAAACAATTAAAGGAAACTGATCTTAATTACCCCTGCTGGAGTGATGTCACATCTCCTAATGAGGTTTCAAATCGAATTTTCAGTATTAAGCTGACCTGATGCTGCTGTAGCACATTTCACAGCGCAGCAGTGCAGTAGTTTAATGAGTAGAGTGACCCCCAGTGGGAAGCCCCAGCTTCCCTGCATGTAACAGTTAGCATCCATCCACCCTGCTGAGGGGTCCACGAGCAAGGCAATTCCAGGTGAACGGTGCTGTAGCTAAACCTGCAAGCAAGCGTGAGGGAGAAATCCTGAATTGTTAATAATTCCGAATATTTTCCTGATTCCTCAGCAGTTTCCTGGGAAGAATGATGTACTTGAGCACAAATTAGGAGACATTTTGAGGTTGTTTTTTTTTTTTTAAAGAAAAGCTCCATTTGAACCCAAGTTAATATTCATTTATTATTCACTTCTTTTCAGAAAAGTCATTTTTTATACAGGTTACATAAATTTCATATTATGCTTGTTCAGCTGATGAAAAGACTTGAGGTTTTCTGGAAATAGATTTTCATCGGTAAGTGTACTAATTTAGCTTAATTAGTACCAAATGACTTTGTTCTTTCTGGCACACTTTCTTGGAAATTATTTGGAAATTATGGACCAATCATGTCAAAAGTAGATGAATAGTTGTGTTAAAATAATGTTTTTTTTTTTTGTTTTTTTCTTGACAGCATTCCATCAAGCTCTCAATGGCACAAGAAGAGCCAAAACATCAGTCTCCCATCAACTAATGGCTTCCATCTCCAAAAGTCAACATCCACAGCTTTTATAGCAAAGAAAAGAAAACTAGCAGTTGCAGCCACATAGTACAACAAACCACAGACCTGACATCCTTACTCTGACCCCGAGTGTGTGCTGAGACGTGAACAGCTCGTCCTATCCGGAACTTTCTCTGTCCCAAAAGAGGCATAAATGGAAAGACGGTGCCTGTACAGTGTTTTGGAGGTCGCCTCACCAGCCCATGTATCCTCTTCTGCTTCTCGTGTTGGATGTATTATAGTGTAATCTCGAAACTTGACAAGGGAGAGGCTGGCATGTTGAGGACGGCTGGGGATTTTCCTGTGTGCCAGAAAGGGTTTAAGAAGAAGGACTCAAAATGTTCCTCAGAGGACCATTACAGTGACCTCAATGGAGCTGGATATATCGCTTCTGCATCAGAATTTCAACCTTTCTCCATCACTGAAAAAAAACAACAACAACCCAATCTTCAATCAACAGCAGTACAATGTTTAAGATGCGTCTTCATCTCACAGGGCTGGATCTTCATGCAGAGTTCTTCACAAACTAGTAGATCTTTAACTTTGTAATGTGACCAAAAACAGGAAGTGAATTATTGCACATAACATGTGCACGTTTTTTATTTTTGGTTCATTTTCAGCCCATGTCACCACTTTCTGGCATGCGGCCTCAAAACTGGATTTAATTTGGAGTCTTCGATGTTGAGTGAACATATGCATGTTTCTAAGTAATAAATGAAGAGCACTTGAAAGGTTGTGACTCAGCATGTACTCTGCCTAAAGGATTGTTGGTTGGCTGCATTTAAGGAGCGCGCACACACACACACACACACACACATACACACACATACACACACATACACAGATGAATTCTGACAGGCCGGGACCTTATTTATGCTTTTTCCCATTTTCACCAGTTATTTAGATTCTTTGTAATTCGCTTCCTGTTCTGCATTATCCTTTCCCTTTCTGCTCAACCATATCAAGAAAAAAAAGAAAAGTAGTTTGCACGCAGTGAAATGCAACGCACATGTAGAAAAATGAATAATTGGGGGGGGGATATTGTTTATAACCTCAAACCATGCTACAATTTCCATGGTGCTTTGTTTTACAGCTCTTGCAAATGTCCTCATTCATGTATTTGAGAGCCATAGCAAAAGAGGAGTTTCTGTCTTAACTGAACATTGGACTTCGGATTACCGCAAACCTGGCCTGGCAAGGTGGACATTTTTTTTTTTTTTTCCCAGTGCTGCTGTAAATACTGGTCTATGTGCCAGCCAGTCATAGGAAGACACGAGACTCCTAATCACAAGGAAGTGACAGTTCAGCTTGTATGTGACTGGGTTCGCCGTGCGAATTGTCCCAGCTTATCTCCGTTTCTTATTTCTGTAGAGGTGTATTGTTTTGTCACATCCATAAAATATCAACATGCGGTTGGTATGTTGGAGCAATCTCTCACAGGAGGGGTGCCACTGCAACAATGGGGGGGGTGCCATAAACCAGTATAGTAGTGGCCAGTAATTCAAATAAGGTGTTTTCATTGAGGTGAATGGTGCATATCAAGGACTTTTATTAGGCTCCTGCTGGACTTTAGATCTGACACACAACATTTATTGCAGTACGACAGGCGATGTCGACGTTGATCCTTCCACAAAATATATGAATGTTGCTACTGAATGCAGCTGAGAATGACCGATGGCTTGATGCCCCGATCCAACACGACTGCACTGTTTATCTGACAGGATCAATAACCATAACTGACAGCTTGGGACACGTGAAATCTGTTCAAGAACTTAAAACGCTCCATCTGGTTCCTCTGCTGTTATGGATCTCAATGCTGTCACAACCAGCTGGGGACGGGATTTCTCAGTTCTCCTGTATTCTACCAGCCGCCATCTAGCTGTAGTATTTATTAGTCTTCATACATGTACAGGTTATTTTGCTGAGAGGTCTGTTGCCGCTTTGTCACTTTACTGTTTATGCAAGCAGGAGATTATATGCAATCAATAAACTGTCCCCCCCCCCTCATGCAATGTTTGTAACAACGTCAGTCATCATGCTTTACATACAAATCGGTGATAACTCCAAACGTAACTGTTTGTTTACCTTCAGAATGCACATTTTCACTAATATCTACTTTTACTTTTTGCTAGAAATATCTACAGTATGTTCATCTGTGCCTTGAGATAAAGTAAGGGAGAGAGATTATTACAACAAATTCACACCTGCACCAAATTGTTAGTCATAAATAACATGCAATACTGATTGTGAGGTTGACTTTTTATTTTCGAGGATTGTTGTGTGGAACATCGGAAAAGTATTTTTGGTTTAAGTGTAAAAAGAGGTTCTTAGAAGGAACTCCCCCCTGAGGATGTCGGAGCAAGGTTCCCTGAGAAAGGGCTAGTTTTTTTGTTGTTTTTTTTGTTGTTTTTTTTTCTTCCCAAACCCAACTTCAAAGTATCCTCTTTAAAGAGTATAGACCGCACCGCCCAAAAAGCTATGTCCTTTGGATTTGTCTGTCAGGGTTGCAGCCTCAGAGAGGATTGCCATGTGGCCACTTCATGGCCACTGCTGGCTTTAAGGCTGTTCAGAGCTCCTAGTGCGCACGCCAAGACTTGATGATCATGTAGTCTTTCTCTGTTATTGTTTCTTCTCCCACTCTTCTCATTTACCAAGAGGGAATGCGATCTTTTCCCCCAATCCCTCATCTTCTCAACCAATTTCTAATTTCCCTTTTAATACGTTAGAGAAGTTAAGTGTCCCTCTTTCCTCTTTCTCATACTTGCTTCCTTCTCACTTCCTAAAGGGGAGGCCTAGACCTAAACAGCAGTGCTATGTGTTCAGTTATTTTATTGAAGGCGAGAGGCCCGTCACCAGGCTGTGATGGGCAGCGCCGCAGGTAGCTGAAAGGTCAGAGGTCAGAGCTGCATCTAATCCTGTCTGTATGTCTTGACTCAGGGCTTGTAAATACAGGCGAGAGGGAGACCGACAGCTTGGCAGTGATGTCCACTTTAGGGACAATTAAAACAGACGAAGGTATCGAATGTCCAGCTCTGCCTGAGCTCATGCTGCCAGAGATGCACGCGGTGTGGTCGTCCATTGGTGTGTGTGTGTGTGTGTGTGTGTTGTTATTAATATGTCAGCGAGGGCTTCTCGTTTAAAGCTCGACATGTCAACTGCTGTGTTGTAAGCTGCTGCAGATCCCCGAGTAAAAAAACGTGCACGTGTGTTTGTCAGAGTTGGCATGCAGGGCCGGAGATTGTTTCTTTTTTTGAGGCTGACATCACCGTGGTTCAGGATTACTGTATATAGCAACTCGGTGATGCAAGTGCTAACACGAATGCCCTCCTCACCCTTGATCCTGCCTTACTTCCCCCCGTGTGTCACCCAGCGAATAAGTCCGACAGTTTCACCCGTCCTTACTACAACTATACTGTGCACCCTCTATCATTTGCTCTTTTACTTTCATTCTCCAACCTTTCTTAACCTTCTGTTCCTGAACCTGTGTAACCCCCACCCGCCCCAACTTCGAGAGAGCCTTTGAATCCGGGGTCCCAGGAAGAGCCCAGCTGTTGAAAACTGTAGGTTTTTATGACACGTTGGAGGGTTTCCCTCCCGGAGACCGGCTTCAAAGACAGCAGGGCTTTTTAAAAGGGTTAAGTTGAAACTCCATCCTCTGCTATGCGTGATGCCTTTCTTCCTTACAAGCCTCAAAGCACACTAACACCCGACTGTACATCCACTCCGTCCACTGGAATCTAGCTGGACTCTGCGTGCCGGCATAAAGACCGCTTTAGGCTTCGACCTGAATGTGTTTTGGGCTACGATCCGCTGTTATAGGTCCTATTCGTTGCTCCCAGTGGCAAGAGCCTGTATAGTGTTGACAGGGTGGAATGTACTGACTGGTCATCTGGGACTCAAGTGAAGACGTTACAGGTTTCAGAACTTCTACAGCTTTTGTGGCGTGATAAACGGAGGTGTTGTCGGTTCCTCTCCTGCCTGAATGGTGGCAGTTTTGCAGAACATTATTGAATGAGAGAATCGGTATGATCGCTGCTCCTGGAGCACGATATTTAGGACACGGCTGTGAATGTCGTAATAGAAAGTGGTTAATAGAAGTGGTTAAACAGCAGTTAGCAGAAATCCTCTTAAACTCTGGTGTTGTAAGTATAAACATCCATTATTTACAAGTCATTGTTTTTTTTTTTCCCTTTCATTAAGTAGACTAGAATGTACTTAGTGGAGATTGGAGTGGTGAGGCAGAAATGGCTCTCGGGCAGCGAGCAGGCCCTTGTCCTCAAAAGCCTCCATTGTGAAGCCAGGGTCATGGTGTCATTGGGTGGCGTAGGCTGTAATCTGCACTTAACCAGCACTTAACTTTAAGACCTCAAATGACTAATGCCCCTTTAGTCCCCTTTGTCAAAAAAAATGGTGTCCCAGAATTGTATTTTAGTTACGTTTCAGTCGCTGTTTGCTGAATGTCGGATATGTTGTGTATTTCTGCACCAGCCAAATTAGAGTATTTCCGAATCATCCCACCAGTTAAAGAAAGGAAATTGGTGTGCACTCAGTGAATGAATAATCTTTGAGGTGTGGCACCCTGTTATGCCTGCATCTCAGCCTTCTAACATTGTGCCAAAATCATTCCACAGTATTTCCAGTTTACAGTTAGAGACGGTGCCAACACTTCCCCAGACGGTCACCCTGTCTCTAAGATACTGAAATTAAGGGGACATATTCAATTTGAGGGTTTTCTATTTTGTTTTCTGTCAATTGTGTTTTGATTTCTTTGTTAAACAAAAGATGTCTTATTTTGGAAGCTATATCGGATAGATTTTATTTAAGGAAACTTGTAATTTTGTAAAGTGGGCCTTATTATTGAAATATATTAAGTATTTGTCCATCTTGATTTTAAGAATGATATTTTTTGCAAGATGAATATCTTCTTCCTCATTGTTAATACACTCCTGGAGAGTACTTCTTCCTGTATTTTGTGTTTGTTATTTTAATGCAAGACATTTCTCATGACATGATGGCACACCACGGATCGGAGAGCGAGAGAGAGAACCCAGGGTTGTGTCAGCCATTGAAAACAGAGCTACGTGCGTTTTATCAGTGCTGAACAGGTTCGCAGTACTGAGTGATTCACCATGTGTCGTCCCGCTTTTATCAGGGACCATTCAGTGCTGCAACCTCTTTGCTGCTCTGTTCTCCCTCGCTCTTTTAAATTCAGGGTTCGTACATCTTTTTGTAAGTGCGTACGTTTTGTAAGTGCTGCCAAAGAAAGAAGCGTGCAGGCCCCAGAAACACATGTATATGTATGTATGTATATGTATATATATGTGTATATATATGTATATATACACACGTGTATATATGTATATATACACACACACAAAAAAAAAAACAGGAATCGAATCATGTAACTGGATCTCTTTTACACACATACATGCACAGATACAAGAATATCAGGCCTGTACAATCAACTGTTATTTTTATTTCTGAGTGTTTATAAGTTCATTTTGTTTGCAGAAAAAGGAGACTGACAGACAGAGGTGTCAAACACAAAACTGTATGCAATGAAATCAGATCAAATGGGTTTTTATGGTTTAATACTGCTTCTCAGTGTGTCGGCATTGCCAGATGGACTGTGTGGGGAGGCTTTTTTTTTTTTTTTTTTCCCCTGTTTTAGACTTAATACATTGCATGTTTTAACTGTACTGTGGCTGGCGCACTCTGCATGTAGGTCTCTTGAAGCTGCCAACTGTACAGCAGACCATATGTATTCCAATAAAAATAAAAACCAACCTGTTTGTAACACGTTTCCATGTCGGAACCTGTGTGTGTGCGTGCGTAGCTGATCGTGTGTAAAACCCAACCATGTATGTTAATCTCCTTTATGCTTTTCTGCTGAGCAAGTTTTTGTGTGTGTGTGTGTGTGTGTGTGTGTGTGTGTGTGTGTGTGTGTGTGCTTTTATCAGTGAAAACAGCAGCTGACGGTATGCAAAATAAGCAGGCAGACAAATGAGGCACATTTGGTCAAGTACAAAGAGGGAAAACCACAAGCTGTTGTGGAATGCAAAGTCAGCACACACAACTTTCTCTTAAACAGCTACGCCTCACTTTACGAAAGCCAGCAATTCTGTCCCTGCAACTGAAATTTAAATCATCTACTCTGCACAATGTAGTCTGATAAATTTGGCTTTTCGTGTGAAAATAACCGACCTCTGATTCTCAAGTTATTGCACTATCCATCTGTAGTGCTTTTTGCATCTCAGGTTGTTGTTTTGTTTGCCTCAAACTGCCAGATAGGTTTCAACATTACCCAGAAGCATTTTGTAAGACTCCAGTTAACAAGCCTGGACGTGTTGAATTTGGTGGGAAGAGTCCTCGAGCAAAATATCAACATGTTCTGGTTGAAAACAAGTGACTCCTGGTGCTCGGCTGCATTTCATTCCTGTCTATTGAAACTACTGTTGGACACCAACAGTCCCAAAGATATCAAACTCCATACTACACATCATTATTCAACTGTAAATGTAAACAAATGGGCTGAAGGCAACTGTTGAATGACGTCTAAATTCAAGTTAGCTCAGGATACTTTAGATGCTTGAAAAGAACAAAGCCATCGTTATCAAAGGTAACGGCTGCGCTTTACCTACTTTAACAAGTTCAAATGTCCGCTGCAAAAAGGCCTATTTTTGAATCACAAATGCTTGCAGTCTCGAGCCTTCTTTCAGTTAATAAGAGTACGTACATGGCACAATAAAAATCCTCACTTTTCATGAGAGCTTTGTGGGTTATCGTGTGTCAATACGGATGAGAGTCAGGGGTTAACACTGTCTCCTGCTTGTGTGGTTTAATCTGTCCCAAGTTCAGATGCAGGGAGGTGCTACCCTAACACAGTGGTGCCCGTTTAGACCCTGGTACTCCTGAGCCTCAGTGCCGATGCCTGACCTGAATTAGTGCTGTGAAGTCAACCATGGAAATGACTCAGTGGCACTCCAGGCGAGCAGAGGAGGAGGAAGATGGAGTGGGAGGGAAAAAGAGGCTTCACTGCCTAAAACAGGTGTCCTAGGAAAGACTGAGGGGGATGTTGATTGTGAGAATACATACAAAGGGTGGTTGAGGTCGAGCCTGCAGCTTTGTTGTATGGGAATTTAGGGTAATTTACTAAGTATTAGTACAGCTGGGACTGACATTAGTGTCGCAGGTATTTGGTCATAAACCAAAGTATTGATGGTGGCCTCAGTGGAAAAGTCAGGGGGTTCAGGAAAGTCTGTTGGATTCATCATCTGGGTACCATGAATGTCTGTTCAAGGTTTCATGACAATCTATCAAATCGTTTCAGTCTTGAACATTACCCCTAAAAGCCATGGTGCTAGAATGGCTGAAATACTATACCGACTTCAAATAAAAATATAGTACTATCTATAGTCACTATCTCTGGATTCATTTCAGATCTTATTATCGATGATGTCCAAAACGCTCGTAGCAGCATGTGCCTACAGGAGGTGTTTGTACTGGTGTAAGTGTACATTCCACCCCACACCTATAAATCCCGTGAGATGTGCTCAGACACGCCGTGGTCTCTCATTCAAAGGACTTTAATAACTCCCTATTACGCCTTCTGTGTCGCTGCCTCTCTATCAAGTAACCAGTTGATGTGGGCTTGAGGCTATTGTGAAAAATAACCTCACCAGTCAACATTTACACACCGCTCTGAGCCGACGGTTTACCAGGGAGGTGAAAATACCCGAGCGCTGCAGTCCAAACCCCCCAGCTCAAATTACTGTTACACCAAACATCTCCTTTGGTCGCGATAATAACTGCATCTCTGGGGGGGGGGGCACAGAGCCCCGAAACACAACTCCACAGAAAAGCTCATGGTTGACCATTTTAATCCCCCCCCCCCCCCCCCCCACCCCCACCCTCATCCTCATTCATCAGATCCCCCACTACGTGGAGCTGCTGCCAGGGACCCTCATCTCTCCTTCACACACACACAGACACACACACACACACAGTGCCACAGAGCCTGGGAAGCAGCCAGACCTGCTATGAAGGCGGGTCATTGGAGGGTCAAAGCAGAAGCAGCCGTGTTTACTGTTGTACAAGTACAAAAATACTACACGACTGCAGGCAATAAGACAGGAAGCACTCTGCGTACACATATCACTTTCAAGAAGAACACGCTGAATTCAAGATACAATTTCTGTCTTCTTTTAATAACAAAAACAATTGTCAATATAAAAAGAAAGTATGCGATGACAACCATACCAAAATACTTAAACTGCTATGGCAACAAAAACAGTCACAATTCTTTAATCTGTCTTTTTAGCTTTTAATACAAACTATTTCCACTATACTCTCTGCAACCGTAAATAATAGAAAGTAAACTTAAGAGGCATACAGCTACAGTACATAGCAATGTTTTAAGACAAGGCCTTGAGATTGAGACTGGGCCACTGAGTTTGTCATCCGTCTCATACGATATCTGGCTCTCGGTTCTGTGTACTTTTAGGATTTAAACAAGGGCACATAAATAGATGTTGGGTTTTGCAGTCATGCTCCACAGGGAATCAAATACACTTTATCACTCAACATAATGCCATGCTTCTGTTTTCAAGACTGGGGAGAAGAAAACAAAATCACACATTTCTAAAGATGAGTTATCACATTACTATGTAACAAAATTGTGACGTATTCGTCTTTCTTTAGCTTCGCCCAGTCTTTGTAGTAAGTTACATCGGTCTCCATATTTAGCTGGAAATGTGAACAGTCACTAGTGTCCCAAAATAACTCTGTAGGAACTGTAATGCTCCACTTAAAGGAATCTCAATTTCACATCATACCTAAAGCCAGAAAATGAATTACTTCAGTAAAGGCAATGATGCAAAGTGTTGTCAGGGAGTTCCGAGACCTTTCACGTACAGAAATATCAACAGTTTATGGGTAAACTTTTGTATTTTCTCTAACTGCTTTAGTTGGTCCCACAGTCCTGAGTTAACAGGAACTGGGTGAGGCAATTTCAGACGCTGGGGGTGGGATGAGCCTGTTGAGGGTTGCTGGCAGCTGCGGGAGTGGCCTGTCGGGGAAGTGTGTACATGGCACCCAGGAACTGATCGGCAATGCGTCCGGCTTCGCGGAGCCCACTGAGCAGCGCGCCGTGAACTGTAGCGGGGTAATTCCTGATGGTGTGCTCCCCGGAGAAGAAGAGACGAGGGACAGGCTGAGAGGGAAAAACGGAGAAAACCACATTGATCGATGTTAGATTGTTACAATATAATAAGAAACCATGGGATTGGAGAGAGAGAGAGAGAGAAAAAAGAAGTGTGGAAGTAAAATGCCAGAACTCATCAGTCAACACATAAATATGACCAAATCAGCATGCCGACAAAAAAACATCTGTGTGGAGAACGAACTGCTCTGCTCTGGTTTGGTTGAGTACTGTGGGCGGGCTGGGAAGAATTCTCTCCCTCACTTTCTCACACACACATAAACTGACTAAACTTAAAAAGGTGCTATAAACGGGATTCAGAGCTTTGATATAGCAGCAAAGAACTATATGCTGTGGAAAGATATGGTGGAGTAATGTTTTCACTCTCCCTCTGTGTGTGTGTGTGTGTTGCTTCTCCTCGCTTTGTTTTGTAAGTTAAGGAAGCGTAGCGTCCACCCTCCAGCCCCCCCTCAAGTAAACACCGTTAGCTCTGTCAGCACTGCTGCTGCTGCTGCTTGCACTGTCCGTTAGCGTCGAGCTTAACCCTCTCCATTCTGAGAGCAGTTCGGAGGCAATATATGTGAATTCCGTGTTGACAACCTTTGAGACTAAAGATCCTGTTTGTGTACTTTACCTGTGAGGCTCCTGGTATGGCGGGGCCCGGTGTGATGGGTTGTGCCATGAGGTCGTAGTCGTTACCCGAAGAACCTGCTGCGACGTACGAGTAGGAGCCCCGAGCCCAGGGGTCCGCACGCCAACGAGTGACCACGGTTTCCTTTGGCTGCCGTGATGACAAACAACAACACATACTTGTGAGGGGTTTCCACGATGATGTTTAGAGGGACTTGTGAACAGTTCCAACGCTGGCCTCCATGCATGTGACGTTATCCCGTTTGAAACCATAAGCAAATGATTTATAATGACGGGTGGTTTGGGTACAACTACACATGTGCTTGCTGTGTAAAGTTGTGCTGGTTTTGGGGGTCAATTCAGGAACGGATTTGACATTCCACTCAAAGTACTGGAAAAACCAGAGAAAGCACTAATGATGGAGCTTAAAAATAAAACTCAGCACTATTTTTCTGTAAACAACAAACATGATTAAGTTGTATTTGAACAAATCTGCCAGCTATGTGGAATTGTGTACACAATTGAGTTTGAGGGGAAGAAACAATTTGGTACGTGGACTTGGGGTTAAGTTAAAGAATAACTCAAAGTGAAGTAAAACGAGCAAATATCAAACTGAGCAGCGTGTGAGGGGTTTTGTCGTAGATGATTTCACAAGTGTGTACCTGTGGCACAGCGCTGCTTCCAAATATTCCTTTGAGAATAGCCAGGCAGCGCCCGACAATCACGTCATCGCTGATGTTCTCCATGATGCCGGCGGCCTCCCCGGCCATCAGGGCGAGTAGGATCGGGGCTGAAAAGGAAAAAAAGGCACAATTTGTTACGGAGACCTTTGATGAATGTATTCAGAGAAGCAAAGGGCATATATTATATACATATACATATATATATATATACACACACATACATACATACACACATACATACGTACATACACAATATGGACAGGGGACATATCTCAATACCGAATCACTCTGCAGTGTGAAAATTAAAAAGGATCTCCTGTCACCTTTGTAGAGGTTCCAGAAGAGGAAGAGTTCGCCGCGACTTGCTGTGGTGGAGCCGACATGACCAAACAGGTTGACACTGGGATCCCAGAACACGCGGTCAAAACACAACACCACCTTCAGACAGGAAGGAACACAAGATAAAAAAACATACATCAATCAAAGTGCTGATTGTGATCAAAAGCTCCATGGCCTGTGGCGCACATTTACTGCCATCACTTCATAGTTATGAACGTGTGAATGGTTGAATGCCATCTGCTGGAGACAGAGTTAGTAGCAGATCAGATTGCATAATAATGCAGTATTCTCCTCTGTGCTGCAGTAGAATTAGGAGATAAACTACTCTGCTGCAGATGATGCTCAGCAACAGAGAGCGAGAAAGAGAGAGAGCAGGAGCTGGTGGGCCAGGAGTGACGCAGAATGAGAACTCCCAATCCGATTACCAACACACCGGCAAAAAGCACCTTTCATTCGCACGCCATCGAGCTCCGACTGCCTCTCCACGCTGATGCTCTCCACATTGCCCATGCCGCCCGTTTGATCCCGGTCTCTCCATCCTCCGTCTGAGCCCAAATGTAAACCAGGTCATGAAATATCGACTAAGCAATGAACACAATGGAATTCGGAAGACTTGTTTTTCAGCCCTCCGCCACTGAAGGTCAAGTTCCGAGCTTCAGGACACTGCAGCAGAAAGGAGGAGCGGGAGGTCTCTCCAAGGAGCATCCTCAGTGCTGCCAGAAGCACACTACATCATTTAAAACCTCACTAACTCATTTCAAGACACTGCACTGGCCCACATTTTCCTGTGTTGGGTGGGGGGGGGGTTAGCGTTAAAGTTTGATAAATACTGAGCACCATACCTTGTTGAGGTTACCAAAGCCCATCCTCTGTATAGCGGACGTCTTCCACTCAGGCAGTGGGGGAACAAACTGCACAGCAGGGGGCTGCTGCTTCAGCACGCCGAGAGGCAAGGTGCACAGCACGGCGTCACACTTGTATATGAAGGTCTGGGTCGTGGAGCGGGTGTTGACTGCTATCACCTCACAGCCTGGAGAGAGAACAGACGAGGGACTGTTTTAACACACTTTGTACATCCACATGAACATCAATCGTGAAATCAATAAGAGGAAAGTGTGGCCAAAAGCGGTAGAAGAAACACACACACGAAGATACACACACACACACACAGTCCTGTACACGTACCAGAAGCTGTATACCGGACCTGCCGCACTGCTGTGTTTAGTTTGATGTCCAAGCCTTCAGCCAGGGCCACAGGAACACAAGAATAACCATTCCTTACTGTCAGGTGGCTGCCAGTGAACTCAAAGTCATCATCCTGTGAATAAAGTAATAACACAATGAACTTCCTAATGTAATAAATCAGGATGGCAGAGGTATCTCATGGTTAAACTAGCAATAACTTGTTGTGAACATGGGTTTGTAAGAGGCCGTAGGGCCATTGTCGGGACTACATAACATTTCAAAATGGCTTCATGTACATACTTGATCCCAGTGCTTGAGAGAGAGGGTGGAGAGGGGCGTAGCGTTGGCAAACTCCAAGTTGGCAAAGTGCCAGTCCAGGATCTGCCGATCCCTGGATGACAGGTAAACATCACTGTGGGAAAGAAGAGAAGAAGAGAGACACGGTGATGTGTACCGACAGCTATTCAGACATCAGAGGCACCGGTTGACTCGCTTAACTCAAAACGTAATAATACACACTTGAACACGAGTTAAATGGAAACTTGGACAAACTGCCACAGGCCTCAGGGCTCAAACACCGATTATCTGTTATTACCATTAAGGACGGACCATTTCCACTCCAGCACATGAGGCAATATTGCTTCAACAATATTGGCCTAGCATACTTAGCCTGGATAGCTCCTGATTAGAAGAATTTTAAAAAAAGAGAAGTATTCTGGAGATCTGACATCTCAAACTAACGTACTGATCAAATAAGTAAGGATGGGTTACCTGGGTGGATTGGCCTCCAGCTCCTGTAGCTTCTCCTCCAGCTTGACCTGGCTCTCCACCAAGTCATCGTACTCCTACAGGCAAGGCAGACAGCAGGGAGACGTATACGTCTTAATTTCATCCATTTAGTATCACTGCTGGGAAATACTGACACGATGGCAATCCTTTTATATTTCAAGATTTTATGATTATGAATATTTATCAAAATTAAATGGCCAATTAAAACTAATGAGCTAAAACTTAATGAGAAAAGTAATTGAGAAGCAAAACTATTGTTACACTTTTGGCATATTATATATCCTGACAATTAAGATATATTTCAATGTTACTGGTTTATAAATATTTAACTGACAAATAATTCACAGACTGTTTCTGTCAGACTTAAGGAGCTGGTGAAGAACAGGGTGTGTGTGTCCCACGCATACACAAGTGTGTGTGCGTGTACAAGATACACACCCAGAGGGTTTCAGGTCATGCAGAAAGGAGAAGCAGTCTTGACAGAAAGGGCTGACTCAACCTGTTCATCAGGTCACCACAATAGAACTAAATACAGCAGAGTGCAGAGTCTGGTAATAATACCACCTACCACGACAGGACACGGCTACACCGAGTCAAGTCCAGACATATTTACATCCCAATGACGCCACCAAGCTGACCTGGGAAAATACTACAAATGGCAAGAACACTGGCAAATATCCCAGCTAAAAATATCCTGACACAGCCTTAAAATCTTGTTGTATGGTGTAGTCCATTCTGTCATGAGCGCACACACGCACACATAATGTTAAATGTTCATTCTGTCTTGCTGAGAGCTTGTGTGTATACACGCAGACACGCAGACCGTGATTCAAAGTCTTGAGGTGTTGTTTTAAGACAGCGGATGGGTAGCAGACAAACACCAGCTGTGTTTAAACCAAATAAAACCTCCTTCTAAAACACACGCATAGGAGTAGTGGAGGTGATTTATCGGAGGCAAAAATAAAAACGTCAGCGCTCACTCTAATAATACATCCAACTGAGGCATTAAACCACTTAAACACAGCCTGTCTTGTTTACTCAGAGAGCACGGCATTAAAGTTCTTGAGGCATCCACCCTAAAACATCCATCGTCTGTGCTCCGCGTTTCAATACCGTTACAAATGTTTTGATCTTTAGAACAAATACAATGTTTCTGTCCTGCAATTTGTGGCGGTCAACTTTCTGACCTGCAGGTACACCTAATAATCAACAAAGGAAATCTAATAATACTTCAAACTACAGCAACATACACGATGCAATACCTCAAACCTAGTTGGGAATAGTTAGCTTTTGAACTTAACTGATTTGACTAAAGCATTTTTAGGCCCGCAGGTGATGTGTGAGCTCTATTGTAACCTTCTTCTGATCTTTTTCTGAAATAGGGGGTTTTTCCTCACTTTGCAGAGCGTGGTGAGGTCGCGGTTCTTGCTCTTCACCAGGAACTCCGCTGTGATATCTCTCGGTGGTTTGACTTCACTGGCCTCTTTGTACTGCTGATGGAGCTCCTTGACCCGTTCTTTCGTGGTCACCATCTAAAAAGGAGAGGGAGCAAAAGAGAGCAAGGGGGAAATAAGTCATGACATGATGGTGGATGAAAGAAAAAAAAAATGACTCTTTGGGTTGGTTATGATGTTAAGATTTAACCCCCGTAATCAGCTTCTGAAGGTTGCGTGCCTTACTTAGGGTCAGCTTGCCATTCTGCCTTCCCTGCCTGTAACTTTGCAAATCAGCCTGAAAATAAAACCAGTAGTGATCCGGACTAAAGCCTGCTTTTGTTACCACAACGGCCCTTTTGGACTGCCAGATCTGTCATGAACTTAACTCAAAGTGTACTCCATCCATAAGCTCTCTTAGTGAATCAAACAAACAAACATAAGTGACAACTTTGATCGAACTTCGAGCAGCAATTAAATGTTGACAGTCCAGTTTCGGATCGTGTTTCTTCTACAATTAAAAAAATGGAAAATGAAAAGTTCTCCACAACTTTCCAAGATTCCCCTTCGAGTGCTCTTAAAGAAATAGTTCATTGTTTTAGCAAAAACAAAACACGCATTTGTGTGTCTTTCCGTGAGTTAGACATAAAGATCAATACCATTCACTTGCACTCACCTTATTGAGAAGATCCCTGAGGTCTTCCTGTGTCTTTACAATCTTCTTCCAGTGTTCTATCTGCTCATCTTTCACATGCTTCTCCTGCAGCCTACACACACACACACACACACACACACACACACACACACACACACACAAATAGGATTAGTGTTTATGTGTCTCTGTATACATCTCTAGTTTGGATACAAACGTGCAGGATGCATCTGTCACTGTCTCCTGTATGTGAGCTACCGTACTCACTGAATGACCACCTCCAGGGCCTGTCCTAGAGAAACGGGCTTGTTGTTGAGGAAGTTAAAGTCCAGCTGGTGGCTGAGGAAGGAGGTGGCTTCCAGCAATCTGTTGAACTCTTGCTCCACCATCTCATCTTTTTCTTTCGGCACCTGGATACAAAAATCAGACCATTGGACACCAGTCTCAATAACGACAGCAGAATATCACTTGTTTTGTTTTGATTTAGTTGAGGGCATTTATACGTCATTACATAATCAGACTGAGTCTATTTCTTCTCTTACTGAGTGAAGTTAAGTCACCGATTCACTGATAAAAGCAGAAGAAACATAGATAAGGAATGTATCACATAAATAAATACATACACTTGTGCATCGTTCACCCTTGAGTAGTCCACCAAACGATCAACATGGAGGTTGAGAAGACAAGAGAGAAGGGGGGGGGGGGCGAAAGAGAGAGAGAACATATGAAGCAAACACAACTTTAACGTCAAACAGGTTTGCACAAAAGTAAAAACATGGTCATTTAATTTGCCTTTTCCTGCGAAGGAGGAAACCAGTTACACATGATGTGGATGCTTTTAGAGCCCTGCTGGCTGCTCTCTACTTCAATAGAAGTGCCCCGAACATGAACCTAAACATCCTACTACTGTTGCTGCCACTTGACGGACAGCACAGAAATTAGAGGGGAAAACACTGTTTATTTCCAATTTAATGACATTAAGGCTATATCTGTTTTCTGGTCTGCTTTGCTCTGAAAGGAACTGGAGCGGTTGTTGATGAAACGCATTCAAGCAGTTAAACGAATCCTCCATTCGGTGTACTTTTTGTGGCTTATGGAAAGCCAGATCCCCGCCTCAGGACAACAACGGGGCTTGGAAAACAGCTATAAACCAAAACACATCGCACTTTTATGCCAAGAGGGAACTCTCGTGCAAAAGTAAACATCTTCTGTTAAAGGAAGTAAACAACACAAGATCCTGGCTTCAAATGTAATGTAATTTGGATACAGCTGTAGCCAGAGGTTAGCCGTGTGAACATAGCTCAAGCAGGCTAAATGAAGCAGGTATATA